AAATTGACATAACTGAGTGACTGTTGAAAGAGACTGAACCAAGATGAGCCAAACCCATTGGATGAACCTTGGAATAGCACTGCTTCCCAATACACTGTACAGAAAAGAGGTAAAATGGAGAAATCTGGAGTAGTGTTCTGTTTTGCCAATGCTTAAGTTTTGAAAGCAAGAAAACAATGTGATTGGAAACCAAATTGGCAATAGCCCTTTTTTGGTTAAAACACAGAGAATGGTAAGAGTTTATAGGAATGAGGAAAATACTCTTGATGGAATTCCCATTTTTGAAAAAAAAATGCTAAAATTAGCTTAATAAAAATAACACTGTTGTTTGTAAAATATAACCATTTCAACAAGGCATGTACATTATCCTTGATTTTTAAAAAAAATAATTGAGTTAAGGAGCTGAGCAATGCCTGGTAAATCTGCTAGGGCTGTATACGAAGAGAGAGGGAGTAAAAATCCCTTCTCATCAGGGCCGGCTCTAGGCACCAGCAAATCAGGCAGGTGCTTGGGGAGGCAAACCTACACTTTGCCAGGGGCAGCATTTCAGGTAAGCAGCCGGTGCTGCCCCTGGCAACACCTAGCCCCGCCCCACCGATTTAAAGGGCCGCAGCCCTTGGCCAGATGCCACCTCTGTCTTCTCTCCTGCTTTTTCCCTCCCCCGGCAACACCTAGCCCCGCCCTGCCCTGCCCACCAATTTAAAGGGCCGCGGGAGATGCTGCGGCTGCGCAGGCAACACTGGCACCATGTGCTGGCCTGCTGGCCGCCCCTGTTTCCTATTCCTGAGTCCTTCTCCTCCCTGGTGGCCGCTACCTCCGAGAGCCTCTCCACTCCAAGCCATCAGCCATCCCTCTGCCTACATCATATGGAAATACCAGGTAAGATGCCCCCTTTCTGCCTAGGCTTGCCAGGTGTCCGGTATTTTTGCCTCCTGTCCTGTAAAAAAAATCAGAAAATACCGGACACCTGGCAAACCTACAAACACGCAGCCTGCTGGCCCTGACCCTGGCCTTTCCCCTCAGGCCCCGACACCCTCAGACCCAGGGACCTTTTGAAGTCTGTTCCTAGTATATTTCTCTTGTTCATGTTTGTAGTAGAAGTAGAACCAAACAAGAATCCAGCACATACACACACACACACACACACACACACACACACACACACACACACACACACACACACACACACACACACACACACACAATATTAACTGTTCTACACTCTTCAAAGAATCACACATGCTGTTTCATAGATATTTTTTTAAAGAATTAAACTTTGTTGATCCGGGTAAACTTTTGTGTTTGATGTCTCTAAGGCAAGCTTCATTCCATATATAGTTGTATTGAGCACATACTACTCTCTACTCCCTCTAACACCTCATAAACTTGAATATATAATGGCTACTAGCAAGATGGACACACAAAAATAATGTGCATATGCACACCCACTGATCTCAGTTTATCTGATAACATAGATGTGTTGGAGCCACGTAAGGAGCCACTGAATTCCAAAACAAATCTAGTTTAACAATACAAATATTTATTGATTTAGTTTAGATGTCTTATGTGCTATAGTTATCATAATTGGTTGACAAGTATGCTAGCTGATTATAATTGGTTTGAAGATTGATTAAATATAGCCATAAACTACTTGGGTGCATCTAGACTGGCAAGATTTTGCGCAAAAACTTGCCAGCTGTCTACACTGGCCGCTTGAATTTGCGCAAGAGCACTGACGTTCTAATGTAAGAATTCAGTGCTTCTTGTACAAATACTTTGATGCTCCTGCTCAGGGATAAGTCCTCTTGTGGAAGAATACTTGTGCAAGACGGCCAGTGTAGACAGGCACCTTAATTTTTCGCGCAAGAAAGCCCAATGGCTAAAATGGCCATCGGAGCTTTCTTGCGCAAAAGCGCGTCTATACTGGGCACAGATGCTTTTGTGCAAAAGCACTTTTGGGCAAAAGCATCTGTGCCAATCTAGACACTGTTTTGTGGAAATATTTTTAACGGGAAAACTTTTCCGTTAAAAGTATTTCCGCAAAATCATGCCAGTCTACACGCACCCCTTGAGTTTTAGATGTGGCACAAGTTTTCGCTTCTATTTTTTGGTACTTAGTTTATATTTCCTTAACCATTTGTGTGAATAGTTTTTCATGCATTCAAAGCACAATTCAAAAGTAGCCTATTTCTATAAGAACAATAAAGGAGAGATTGAAGGTACATTTCCCACTCTTGAAAAAGAGCTTTGTGTGAGCTGGAAATCTTGACTCTGTCACCAAAACAAAAGAAAAAAATTGCAATGTGGAAACGTGTAAAAGCCAACAAAAAGGGGTGGGGGAGGGGGCAGCCAAATTTTTTTTGCTTGGGCCAGCAAAAAACCTAGAGCCGGCCTTGCTTCTCTTTCATTAATAAATGCAAGAGAATAACTAGAGCATCCTAGCAATTAGGTTATCCAAAACCATTCACTCAACATCACAAAACAGCTGTCATCTGGCCTGTCCAGCAAGTATCAAAAAATTAGTATAAGATATTTAACTTAGTCTGATGTATTGGGGATGCTTTGTGGATCTTTGCACTAGCTTCAGTACTTCTCATGTTGCTTACCAAGCAACACAACTTTGTTTTTGCTAGACACAGTCCCTCTCTGTTAAACATCTGTTGTCTGTTCTGTATTGTACCTCTGAACACACTGAACTTTAACTTCGCCTTGATTAGAAACGGACTGGTGCCAAAGCTACTGGCTTTGTGCCAGGAAAACAAAACAGGCCTACATGGAAATAGTGCACTGAACTTGCATATGGAGTCACCAGAAGGCTTCCCCTTTAATTGAATTTGGTGCTTGTTTTGTGTTTTAAACAATGTGGATCACATTTACTGTGATGCAAACTGAAACAGGATACCAGCACTTCCTGTCTGCATCTGCAGGAAAAGCAGCATTCGGAGAGTTGGAAAGCAGACAGTAACATTATTTCAGTTCAACACTTGGTTAAGGGGTGCACCTTTTACATGGAACCATCTGGAGTTATCAGTTGTAAAAAATGGTTTGCAAAGTCTGATATGCTCAGAAACTGAAAATGCCCTCTGAGGTGATATAGACAATGAGATGATTTGATGTACGGTTTTCTCCTTGTGCACGGTTGTGAGATGAGGACACAGTGAATTCATACATACATAAGTCAAATGCGAGGCCCAATTTTTTGAGTTGGCTTGTGCTTTTTTTAAACTTGTGGCATTCCACTGATTTCAGCAGAGTTATTCCAGCTAGGGGGGAGGGATAGCTCAGTGGTTTGAGCATTAGCCTGCTAAACCCAGGGTTGTGAGTTCAATCCTTGTGGAGGCCATTTAGGGATTTGGGGCAAAAATTCATCAGGGATGGTCTTTGGTCCTGCTGTGAAGGCAGGGGACTGGACTCAATGACCTGTCAAGGTCCCTTCCAGTTCTAGAAGATAGTAAATCTCCATTAATTTAATTTAATTTAATCTACACCACCACGAGTGAGCTCGGACCAGAATCCAGGCCCAGGAGACTGTCTGAACTCCTTAGTAAAGGATGTAAATTGGGCTTCTGCGTAGCCCACAACACCGCACAATCAATAATGTGCATTTCAGCTAATAATTGTAACCCCTCTCCACATCCCACAATGCATGTGGGAGCAATGGTTGCAGTAATTTACATGTCTGAAAAGAAATCAACAGATAATCCAGACACAGTACTTTCTTCCAAAGTATCCCTCTTTGCCTGAATATCTATTTTCCTTCACTAGCAGTAAATAAGGTTAAATCTTGTCAAAATTACAGGAACCAAAAAAAAAAAAAATGATGGAGATAAATGTTCAGCTTTTAATTTGTCATCTACTTGCAAAAAGACCAGGGGAAAATAAAAATCCTTGCCTAAAATTCCAGTGGTTCTTTTCAATATAACAAACCTGCTCGCTCTTTTGATCTCATTCAAATCTTAGAAGACAATGTCAATTTCAAATTTCAGATTGTCTAGCGCCCATCCAACAGGTTTCAGTGGGGATCATCGGTTCAGTTTTGGTGGGTTCATTAAAAATACTATGCGGGGTTACCAAACTGGCTACATTTGAAATAAAATAAAAAATCTGTTTCAAAGCCCTCCTCTGAACTGTGAGTCTGAGTTTGCTGTCAGTTACACCACTGTAAGCAAACAACTTTCCATGCATCTGATGAAGTGGGTCTTTGCCCACGAAAGCTTATGCTCCAATGAATCTGATAGTCTATAAGGTGCCACAGGACTTCTCGTAGTTCTTGCAAATTTCCATTGATATCACTGGAATTATTCTGGATTTGCTCCAGATCAGAAACCGGCCCTCAATTTTTTTTAATGTTACCCCAAATATTTTACTATGTGCTGATTAAATGGCCATTTGAATTCCCTGGGCCAATTCTCTCATTCACCACTGAAGACAACAGAGTTATGCCAGCATTGAATTTCCCTCTCCCCCCCCCCAATAGCCTTACTTGAGAGAACTAATTCAGTTGCCCTGAGATTGTGTTTCTAAGGTTCCCAAAGCAAAAAAAAAAAAAAAAAAAAAAGCATTGTAACTTTAAATATAGACTGACAGTTTTTGGCTTGCATCTCATATTACACACAGACGGCTTGGTGTCTCTAACTGCAAGCTAGGCGGTACCATTAATATCTCAGAAGAGAGACACTAAATCTTCCGAATGCTTATACTTTCATTCCTGAAGGGAAAAGCAGTTAGTTTATATTTTCTCCCAACGAGCACTTAGAATGAAATGTAACAAATTTCTGAATGTTACATGCAGGAATTAAACTTTGCAGATGTCTGTTTCGTGTCTCTCTGCTACTTCCAGACACACACCAAAGCAGACTGTTTCACCCCTAACCCTTTCCTTTAAGGAAATCCTCAGAATTGGTTTGTGAACGTCAACTGTGTTTAGAAGTCACCTGGTTAAACAATGGACGGGTACGTTCACGGTTCCTGCAAGGAGAAGAGGAAAGGAGGGTACTCACGTGATGGAGTTACTACAGAGTTTAGGGAACTCATAATGTACGCCTTCAGAAATGTTTTCTTTGCCTTGACAGCTTTTCTCCTCTGTTCAGAATCGCAGGCTGGAGAGGCAGGGAAGAGAGACGGCTGGAGAGGCAGGGAAGAGAGACCAAGGACCCAGGAGAACGCAGCACTTGTTCAGACACTCCTTGCTGAGTTCCTGACCCCTTTACAACTGGAAAAGGAAACAGCCCATGTGTCATTCTCTGCTGCCTTTCCAGCTCACATGAGCAGGGAGGGGCCCCCACTTTCAGATAGCTGTTTTCAAGTTTGACGTATCCCTGCCCTCTGCCTTCCAGGAACTTCGAAGCTTCAGCAACACGTAGAAAGAAAAGGCTTTTTAAAGGGCTTGGTTTCAATCCTGTCCAGCCTGGTATCCCGAGACGGGGACCAGCCCCGTGGATGAGGCATCCAAATTCCATTCTGGCTCAGAAACGTCTATGCCCAGAGATTCTCTAACTGTACCTCTCATTTAACTGGTATAAATCGGGAATAAATCCACTGAAGTCTGAGTAGTTTCACTGGTGTTAATAAGAGGAAGGAGGAAGTCAGGGATCAAGACACTTGGCTTGGTTTTCAGGAGAGTGGGGTTTAATTCCTGCTTCAAGCACATATTTCCTGCACGACCTAAGACAAGTATCTGAGTCTGTGTACGCCTCAGTTGCCTGTTGATAAAAGGGGGATGAAAATACTTCTCATCTCCTTATACTTTTTCTTTCTTGCCTATTTAGATTATTAACTCTTTAGGCCATCTCAGAGGGGAAACCCTTTTTTAAAACAATGAGCAGTTCTGTGGCACCATAGAGACGAAGGGTATGTCGACACTAGCCCCCTAGTTCGAACTAGGAAGGCTAATGTAGGCATTTGAAGTTGCAAATGAAGCCTGGGATTTAAATATCCCGGGCTTTACTTGCATCTTCCCGTCCGGGCGCTATTTTTAAATCCCCTTAGTCCGAACTAACTGCCCGTGGCTACACATGGCAGGCAAATGTTAACGTGAACTAAGTCTTTAGTTTGAGTTAACTGTTACACTTCATGGAATGAGGTGTAACAGTTAACTCGAACTAAGGACTTAGTTCGAGTTAATATTTGACTGCCATATGTAGCCGTGGGCAGTTAGTTCGGACTAAGGGGATTTAAAAATGGCGCCCAGATGGGAAGATGTAAGTAAAGCCCGGGGTATTTAAATCCCGGGCTTCATTTGCAACTTCCAATGCCTACATTAGCCTCCCTAGTTCGAACTAGGGGGCTAGTGTTGACATACCCAAACAGATTTATTAGGTCATGAGCTTCTGTGGGTAAAACCCACTTCATCAGATGAGCTGGAGTAGAAATTACAGAATCCAGGGTATGTAGAACAGCAAAAGAAGTTACCTGTCTATTGTAGGACTGGTGTTAATGAGGCTAAATAAGGGTGGATGTCTTATTTGCAGCATTTGCTGTAGAGATGTGAATATCCAACAAATTCAACACTATCAACGTAAGCTTCAATAACGAGCTTACCTGGTTAACACATTACAATGAGTAGTCCTTTGGCACCTTAGAGAATAACAAAAAAAATGGTATCATGAGCTTTCATGGGTGAAGCCCACTTTATCACATGGTAGGCTGGAAAGGAATAACAGAGAGTACACTGCATTGGAAAGGCAATTTTCCCTCTTTTGATATTCGCATCTCCACAATAAAAGCTGCGAATGAGACACATTCACACTGCCTTAATTAGCCTCATTAACACTGGTCCTACAACTGAGAGGTAACTTCTTTTGCTGTTATATATACCCTGGAGATTGTAATTTCTTACTCCAATTCATCTTATGAAATAGGTCATGAGCTGCCATTGGTAAAACCCAACGAATCTGTTACTCTAACTGGACTCCTCGTTGATCCTTCGGGCCGTGTTTTTTTACCGTGTCTGTACAGCATGTAGCATAGCATCTGATCTCAGTTAAGGCCTCTAGGTATCTGCAAAATACAGGGAATTTATTTATTTATTTGCTTGCTCACTCGCTCACTCGCTTGTACGTTCGTTTATTCGTTTATTCATTCATCTTGTTATGTATTTGTTTCTTTGCTTGTTTGTTTTATTAGTTCATTAGAATCAGACTCAAGTGGCTTCGTTAAGATCTGATCAATCCTCAGTTCTCAATGGACTGTGTAGGCCAGGATAAATTCATAGCATTCCTTCCTTGTCTACCACACAGTAACTGTCTGACTCAAAGTGGGGAGGGGAGGAGCAGAGAAAAGCGGGGACTGAAATGCTCCCTGTTATGCAAGGGTGTGTCAACGTCTTTCTGTTAAGTCACCTAAGGGACCGGCTGCTGCCTGCATGGCTGTGTAGTTGGCTCCCGATACTTATTCAACAACGGTAGGATGGAAGGAGTGGCAACGTACATGCTGACTCCAAACAACTTAGCCTTGTTTGCAGGCACCGATACGGTAAACAATGCATAGCGCCGAGTTCAACAGAATCTCACGGTATGTAGAGAGCCCTCGGATACTCACTGGCATGCAGAGCACAGCAAAGCAAGGGCCACAGGGACAAAAAAGCCTGCTATGAATCCACTGGCTTCCTCAAATCAGTTTGTACCAGATTAAGATCTGACTCGCAGTGGACGGACACTGGCAATGAATGGCAGATAGTGACTAGAACTCTATTTACCACTGTCTTCGGCTTTCCCATTCTTCCCCTAAAACCGCTGCACGCACAGCGCATTGTGGATCTACGCAAAGGGGAGGAAGGAGGCCGAGGTGGTGCCAAGCCCTTAGGGTGTGTCTACAGTCCTTAGGGTGTCTCTGCATAGCACCATAGTGTGGATGCAGCCTACGTCAATGAAAGGGGTTATTTCGCCAGTGAAGTTAATCTGCATCCATCTGTGTCTACACAGGGTAGCGAATCAACCTGCTCACATCACACAGGGTGCGAAAGGTTTCACATCCAGGAGCAATTGAATTTTTTAACCATAGATCCGGCCTTAGCCACAAATCCTGTCTCCATTCCCATCTGGACTAATTTCTCTGGATGCTGGGGAACTCTGGTGAGGATGGAATCTGATTTGCCAAAACAGCTGAGCTAGAATTGCATGCTCCCGGAGCGGAACTGGTTCAACATCTGCTTTGCTTTTTGGAGGGAGGGGGCAGCAGTTACCCCAACTCTGTGTGTTGTTGGGGGAGAAAAGAGAATCTAGCCCTACAGGACAGGTGGTGGGGAGTCCCAAAGAGCAAGAAGGTGAGTGTCAGTGGCTTTTTCAGCACACCAGGGAACAGCCCCAAAGGGTCTTCTGTGACCTCACCCCTGTCTAATTATAGGGGCTTACCATTAATCGTGTTTATTACAGGAGTGCCCCAGGACCAAAGAAGAGCAGGGTCCCATTGTGCCAGGCGCTGTACAAATAGAGGAGTGGACAGTTCCTGTCCTGAAGGGATGATATGGCCCCCATCACTGTAGTACCACACAGTGTTCTTCACCATCTTTGCTCTACTTCACTTCCTAACACTGCTGTGAGGTAAGGGAACTTCTATTATCCCCATGAAGAACTGAGGCAAGACTGAGTCCTAGACTGTCAAAGTAACTCGTCTCTGAGCTTCCTCTGAAATCCACGGGAGTGAGGTACCCTCAGAGGAGTTGACCATAAGTGATTTGCCCAAGGAGGTCCACCGTACGTCTGTAGCAGAGTAATTAATGCAGTCTAGATCATCGAAGATCGCCCTAAACGCGGGGGTGTGTCTAGACTACACCTCTCTGTCGACAGAGAGATGTTGATTAGGCATGTCAAAATTGCTAACGAAGCCAGGATTTAAATATCCCATGACTCATTAGCATAAACATGGCCCCCGCTTTTTTTCTAAATGGTGTTTTTTTAAAAAAAAAAAACCCAGCCGTGTAGACGTGGATCTATCGAAAATAAAGCCTTTTTCGACAGATCCTGTAAACCTCGTTTTTTGAGGACTACAGGATTTGTCAAAAAAGGCTTTATTTTTGACAGATGTGCATCTAGACTGCCAGGTTTTTTTTTTTAAAAAAACTCCATTTAGAAAAAAAGCAATGGCCATGTTTATGCTGATGAGGCATGGGATATTTGAATCCTGGCTTCATTAGCAACATTGACGTGCCTAATCAACTTCTCTCTGTTGACAGTGGCGTAGTCTAGACGTACAATGGAGCATCCTTCCTTTCTAGTGGATTTTTTTAGCCCCTCTTCCTGCTTTGCCACTGGGCTGGGAGCCCCTGCAAGACCATGACTCAATCTGCAGAGTGTGGGGCCCACTTTGCAAGGCCCTGCCCTTCGGCAGAAAGTCAGCGATTCTGCGTCATGGTGGACCTTTTGTGTCCGCCAGCAGAGGTCTATGAGCTTTAAAGGGGAGAGAGCCCTCTTTTCCAAGGAGCCTGGGAGAGGAATATTGAACGGAGAAAGGTTCAGTGTTCTCTCCCTTTGACCCCGGAGTCAACTGCCCTGAGGGAATAGAGGCAGAAAGGAAATAAGGAGCATGGAGGGAAGTGAGGAGAATCAAACACTATCGTTGGCCATGAATGTCTCCTTTGTCTGAACCCTCCTCTTGCGCTTACATCCAGCGGCTGCTGTGGCCAGGGAAAGTCGTATGGAGAAGGACCACTAAACCGCAGGTGAAAGCGTTATTTTGTCAAACATTGTATGTCTCCAGAGGCATCCGCTCTCTGTGGTAGCACAGGCAGGGTGAGCAGCCTGTGTGGCAGCCTTTCATGGGCTGATACCTGAGCCTTCTTGGCCCACAGAGTCTCCCAAAGAGGGAAGGCAATTTTTAACTGAATTTTTTTTTTGCCGTGATGGAGACATTTGTTCATTTGCCCATCTCCAAAGCTTTGAGAGCCTTCCTGAGAATGTCCTGTTTGCCTGTGTCTTACAAAGGATGACAGAGCACTCTGCAAATTAGGTGCCATTTTATTATAGAGGGGTCACACTGGTGTGGGAGTGGTCACACACACACACGCAGCCTATATCTTTGACCGCCTCACCTGCCCACTGCCCACTAATCTACCTGTGCCGGAACTACTTCTACTTCTAGTCCATACCACTGAAGCTGGTTCATTTGGCCTCCATTTTCTTAAATGCAATCCCCTTGATACCACTGGGAAAGAGAGACCTCAACCATTCCCATTTGGCTGATGGGGAAGTGATTTACTCAGAGTGACACAGGAAATCGGTGGCTGACCTGCGAGGTGAACATCAGTTAAGTGTCCTGTCCTTATTTCTAGATATCTTCAGTATTTATATTGCTGTCTTATCAGAGTGTTGAAGTACCTCATAATCTTTAATGCATTTATCCTCCCCATGTGCTTGGGAAGCAGGGCTGTATGATTGTCCCCATTGTGCAGATGGGGAATGGAGGTACAAGGAGATTAAGTGACTCACCCGCGTTCCCATAGGAATTCTGTGGCGAAGAATTGCAGTTCAATCCAGATTCCACTGGACTATGAATCTCTCTTCTTCTCAGGGCCCTGAGGAGGCC